TGGATGCCGCTCGTCCCTCGACAGTGTATACGACATTCTGGATCGGGTCGTACGACCTCGTCAGAAATCGTGCCTAGTAATAATAATTACACGATACTTTGATAGTTTACTGCAGCTTGTGAAGCTAATTGATAAATTAGAAATTTATTGGAATTGAAGGGATTTAATTAATGGTTTGGAAGTTATTGAAATTTGAAGAATTTGATTATTTCTGTTGGCTAAATAAATTATTGTTAAATTCTGTGAATTATGCTGATTTAGAAATTTTAGTTTTATTTCAAATATTATGATTGACCCTTAGTGAGTGTCAAAGTCTGACATCTCGTCCCTACCACTTCGAGATTAGGCTTGATACTTACTGGGTACACGTTGTTTACGTACTTATACTACACTTGCTGTACTTTTTGTGCAGGATCTGAGACAGGTACTAGTGAAGGACCTATCATCACATATCCACGTCATACCGAGGCATAGTGGTGAGTTGCCTTTCTGAGCCATTCTGCAGCTACCTGTGTCTCTTCTTATATTTATATTTTGTCTATTTCATTTCAGACAGTATTTGGAGTTTTGTATCATCTACTGGATGCTCATACACTTGTGACACCGGATCTTGGCACACATATTGGTAGAATTTGGTATTTTATTATATTCTTGGATTAAAGGTTTAATCAATATGTATTTAATTTATTAGTTGGCTTGCCTAGCTGTAGTGTTGGGCGCCATCACGACCTATAGGTGAAATTGAGTCGTGACAAAATATATATTTTTTGTATAATAAAATACAATGATATGGGAGCACCAACCACCCGTAGATTGTAGCCGGTACTGGAAAAAGTTGAATTCAATGAAAGTGTTGATAAGCTAATAGTATCAGCAAGGAAAGTACATGCTTACTCCAAATGGTGTCTATTCTGTTAGGATGAGCTATAATGCATTGTTAGGAGACTTGTGTGCCAATGGATATGTGGAAAGAGTATAATGGGGTGGGGGGTGGGGATTTTAGGAGGGTAGGTGTCACGATCCAAAATCCCGCCACAGGCGTCGTGATGGCATCTAGTCTCTAATACTAGGTAAGCCGATTTCAATTATATTTTTAAAGCCATTTTATTTTTTTTTATTAAATAAGTAATCAAAACTAACAGCGAGACAAATAAGAATATACAACCTCCCAAGACTGGTAGTACTGAGTTACGAACTCTAGCTGAATACATGGAATGATCACGAGGACCAATTATATAATACTGTTTGATTAAATATTAACAGTACAATGAAATGAACAGACTCCAAGGGACTGCGATGACCAAACAGCTCTACCTTGAATCTTTGCGATCACACTCTAACTCTGTCCGGGTCTGATACCTCCAATATGAGTGCAGAAGTGTAGTATGAGTACACCACGGTCGGTACCCAGTAAGTATCAAGACTAACCTCAGTGGAATAGAGACGAGGTACAGTCAAGACACTCACTAGTCTAATAACCTGTGCAATATAGTATACAAAATAATACTGAAAAATAACTAGCAATGATAACAACAAAATCAACCAGTGATATAACAACAATGCAACAAAAATATCATAATTATTGCTCAGACGAATAAGGAATACAAGTACAACCAATTAATCAAGTCCTTCAAATATAAATTCTTTCGCCTATATGTTTTTCAAATAATAATTTTCAGGATATAATACTTTCCAATAAATATATTTTCATGTAAAAGTCACCATATGACACCTTATTTCACAATCATAAAAATTACGGGTCTCGGCCCACTTTCATATTTTTTTCACGGCACCTCGTGCCCATATTTCTATCACCATCACACAGACCACTCACGTGTCAAAATATCAATGTATATAAGATCCGCAGGATCAATTTATTTTCACTAAAGGAAGGTTAAAATCTTAAATCAAGTAAAATATTAACAATGGAATGAATTTATTTTAGAAACCATTTGGGTGAAGAAAATGACATACCAATTAAAATGAAGCATCCGATAACTACTAATTTGGATATAAAATTTATTAAATTAAAACATAATAGCAATTTTTTTTATTCGAAACAACTCAATTCTCGAAAACCAGTAAAAAACCATAAACACAAATCAGTAGAGTCTTGTACAAGGAGCCAAAGCCAATATAATACAACAAGGAATGCAAAACACATAATAAAATTAAATAATATATCACGGAAGAACACAAAAATTTACATATCACGGAAAAACAAAATAACCAAAGGCAAGTGCATCCATAGAAAAATATCAACAAAGGGCACTCCCGAGGTACCGCCTCGTAGTCCCAAAAGAAAATATGCAAGACAGGAGGATCTCACGGAATACTGTTCCGTAGTCCCAAAGTAAATATGCAGGGCAGTGGGATCTCCCGAAACACCGTTCCGTAGTCCCAAAGTAAATATGCAAGGTAGGGGGATCTCCCGAAATACCGTTCTGTAGTCCCAAAGTAAATATGATTTCAACAACTGCACATCAAGTGCTCAAATATTTCAACTTGCTACGGAAACCAACAATACATCATTTTCCACAATAAGGAGCCCATGACTCGACCATAATGTGCACAAAAATCTTAACAAAAATATCCGAGAGTGAACAATTCAACAAAATAATATTTCACATAAATTCAAGGTGAAAATCACACCAAATCATCATATAAAAATAATTTCAACAAACAGAGATCTAGGCATGACAAATAGAGGATTTAATAAGTGCCAATAATTTCCAACTTAATACATAAGGGCGTCTAAGGATTTTAATCAACGAAATTTGCACATATAAACCAAGTACGTACTCGTCACCTCGCGTACATGGTTTTCAATTACACAATTTACACATAATACTCAATGCCTATGGGGTATTTCCCCCACTCGAGGTTAAGCAAGATACTTACCTTATTGAAGTTGTGCCGATATTCCACAATCGCCTTCTTGCTTGAATTGACCTGCGGACAGCTCAAATCTATCCAAATTAATTGTATCACTTCATTAAAATTCATCGGAAATAATTTCGGATAATAAAACACCAACTTAAAATTTTATTCTAAAAAGTCAGCGCGGGGCCCGCCCCTCGGAACCCGACAAAATTTTTACGAAATTCGAACACCCATTCCGATACGAGTTCAACCATACCAAAATTATAAAATTTTGATAACGGATCGCCCTTCAAATCTTAAATTTAAAGTCTAGAGGATTTCTACCATTTTCAACCCAATTTACTAATTTAGTGATAAAAACAACAATAGATTCATGTAATTTAACCAAAATCAAGTTAGGAATTCTTACCCCCAATGTTTCCCTTGAAAAACTCTCGAAATATCACCTCACCCGAGCTTCTTTGGTCCAAAAATGGAAGAATGAAACGAATTTGGATTTTATTCTACTGCCCAGGGATTTGTTCTTCGCGTTCGCGACCCTTCCCTCGCGTTTGCGGTGAACAAATTCTCCAACAACCATTTTCAAACTCTTCTCAGACAACCTCTAGTATAATGGTCATAACTCTTTGTACAAATCTCCAAATGATAAATGATTTAACTTTTCGGAAACTAGACTCAAAGGGATATAACTTTCATTTGTTGCTTATCTCCTCATTCCCTATAAATTGCAAAATATAAGCTTCTAAAGTTATTCCTGTGCAACAGAGATTTCCAAACTCTTCCCAGACAGCTTATAGTATATCCACCATAACTTTTGTTATACAACTCCAAATGCTAAATGATTTACCTTTCTGAAAATTAGATACAAAGAGCTACAACTTTTATTTTTTGATCATCTCCAAATTCCTTATAGATTGCGAAATATAAGCCTCTAAAATCAAACGACGAATAATAAAATTTCCTTCTTCGCGAACGCGAGAACCTCTTCGCGAATGCGAAGAACAAAGTCCCAACAGCAAATCTTTCTTCGCGAACACGAGAAGCTCCTCGCGAACGCGAAGAACAACACCAGAACCAGCTACCAGCAGCATCAAGACACCCAAACTTAGTCCGGAACTACCCCGAATCAAACCCGAGGCCCCCGAGACCCCGTCCAATCGTACCAACCAATCTCAATACATAACGCGAATCTGCTCGAGGCCTCAAATCACATCAAACAACATCAAAGCCACGAATCATACCCCAATTCAAGCCTAATGAACTTTGAAATTTCAAATTCTATATCTTTCGCCATTTCAAGTCAAATTCCTCTACAGACCTCCAAATAATTTTTCGGACATGCTCCTAAGTCCATAATCATCATACGGAGCTATTGACATCATCAAAATTCCATTCCGGAGTCGTCTTCACACAGTTCCGACTACGATAAAAATCCTAAGACTTAAGCTTCCGTTTTGGGGACCAAGTGTCCCAAATCACTCTGAATCATCCGGTAACTGAATTCAACCACGCACGCAAGTCAATACACATAATAAGAAGCTGCTCAGGGCCTTATACAGCTAGGCGGGACTTAAATTCTTAAAACGACAAGTCGGGTCGTTACAGTAGGTGTAGGGGGTATGGGGTGGATTGGTGGGGATGGAGAAGAGGATATAATATACATATTTTTATATATTTAGCTAGTAAATATAATTATTTTAACCGACCAAACCAAATATGCAACTTTGCCCAAATTATCGATAAAACCTTAACACTTTGAAATAAACAAACAAGACAAATTAAAAAGCAGACATCCCAAGTTAAAACTTGGGAATAATATCTGAATATGCATGATACACAAAAATACAAAATAATGGGTTCAACATATTTTGAACACCAAATGGTAAATGCATGCTCTTGCAAAATGTTCATAGTAATACTTCTTTTAACTTTTTTTTAAAAAAATAATTAGACAAGCTGTTGAATTTTCTGCTGTTGCATGCTGCAATGGAGAGTTGAGCACGGCCGGAGAGTTTCGCCGGAAAGTGGAATCACCGGCAAGTTATCGCAGTTGCAGATTTCGATCATCATACCATCTGGATCATGGAAAAATAGTTGATCAACGTAAATTCCACCTTCTTCAACTCTGCTCTTTATATACTCTATTTCCATCTCTTTTAGCCTTTTCTCTACTGTTACCATGCTCTCACACTGCAACCAATAATTAATAAACAATTTTAGTTCAAATTTCCACCCATTAATTTGATGATGTTATATGCATTTTCACATACTTAATCATAAATTAAATATTATTTTGTAGTCTTGGATTATATTTGAACCTATAGGGAAATTTTGGGAAAACATCAACGACTGCTTTTTAATGTTGTCCTCACAGACGGATCCAGGATTTTAAAAGGATGGGTGCACTATTATGAAGAGGTAGATTTAGAATTTAGATTTGACGAGTTTAACTTTAATTTTTTACCATGAACCCACTACACTTTTAAAATTATAGGTTTAAAAATATATTCTTTTAGAAATTTTAGTAATCTTCACATATATATATATATATATATATATATATATATATATCTATATTCCGTGCCGAAAATAAGACCGTTAAGAGCGAGATTTGAACTGTCAGTTTCATTTGTACAGGTGCGCCCTATAATAACTGCACCATAAGAGTCTTTGAACATGGGTTCACATACATATATTTAAGTGATTTTGAAGAAATATAACATTGTTATACATAGTTTACGGAGAGGATCGGAGTATGGGTTCACGTGAACTCATGTCCTATGGCTTGGATACGCCTATGGCTGCCGAATGTCTATTGAAAACACTTTATCTACCTTCACAAGATAAGGGTAAGGTTTCCAAATACACTATCCTCCCGGCCCACTTGTGGGATTACGTTGTTGTTGTTATCAACGGCTGTTGGCTTATTAGTAGAAGAAAATAGAGTACGTTATAAATAATGACATTCAAGAGACAAAAACTAGTTAGTTTGATTAATTTGAAGAGTCATTTTATATTCACCTATATGTTTTGATTAAATAATTGTTACATAAAGATTTGATAACAAATTAGGAAACAAAGACACTCATGTCCAAATAAACTAACTGAGGTAGAGCCCCTATTTGCAATTGGTTGGCTAAATTAGTACTGATCATTAAGTAGTTGGCGTATAAACACTTTTAATGTATGTTGTATAAATACTTTTTAATGTATGTTGTATAAATACTTTTAATGTTTAAAAAACGCGTAAATAAATCAAAAAAATCAAAAAATGCTTTTAAACTAATTTGCCCGACTTATAAGTATACCAAACACCATCTAATACCTTTCTTGTTTATATAGGACCATATATATATATAACCAAAATTAAAAGAATTCGAGTAAAAGTGTATTAAATAATAATATATTAAACCTTCCTTGATCTCCAGGCAAAAAGATAGCTTTGATATATTTTTCATGCATAGATATGAAGGGGGGTGGCTGTTAATCTTATCTTGTTTAACCTATGGTTGGAGATGCAACTTTATTAATTTCTAATTAAATGGATAAATGAAAATCATAAATCTTATATATATGTTCATATCTCAAATTGAAAATAAATGGAGAAGAGAGACAGAAAGTTGTGTATACCTGGAAAGAAATGTGATTGTCCTTTGGATTAATGGTGCTAATCTTGGGCATGTTCTCTGGATCCTCAGATTGCAAAAGATGTATCCCAATCCCATAATTAAACAACCTGCAAATTCAAGTCACCTGTAGTTAATATCATCACTATATGTGGTTAATTAGTACCTTAATTAAGATTTTAACCAGCTTAAAAATAAAGATTTACATATATAAAGTTTAATCTAGTACTCACCAAGCTCCATCAAAATTAAAAGAACCGGGCCTTCTAATTGGAAAGAATCCAAGAATGTTTTGGTAAAAATCAAGAGATTTTTCAACAGATCTGCATACTACTGATATGTGATTCAATGACTTTAAATGCAAAGGATTCTCCATATTATCCTTCTACAAAATAAGGCAAGCACAAATGAAGAACAAGCTCGAAAAAAATTATTAAAGAACCTAAGATTTAGAGAGTAAAGTAGGAATTGAGTAAAAAGATTATAGGGGCTATATATAGAAAAACAATTCTTGAAATGATATTAAAAACAAAAATTGGTGACAACTGTTGAGGGTAAAACAAGTAGATACCACGTGGTGACACGTTGGTTTTAATATTCAAAAAAGCCATGCAAAAGCTTTTTTGACAATTAATTACTTGACTAATTGAGTGATGAACTAGACAAAGTTCAATTGACAAGTACTTGATAAGTTGGCATCTATAATTTTGTACTGATCTTATCTATATATGTCCTGTATCATATGAATATTTTGTAGATAATAATCTACAAAATGTTACATCAATAAGTAGAGGCGGAGCTAGTTTATTAGGTGCGGGTTCAGTCAAACCTTGTCATTTTTGCTTAAATATTGTATTTATATTAGAAAATTATTAAATATTGAATAAATATTTAATTGCGGACCCAATAACTAAGACGAGCTATGAGTTCCGTAACAAATTCAGAACCCATAAATTTTAAATCTTTAATAATACGAAAATTATGATAAATTTAAAAAGTGGCGGAGCTACATGTATTTAAGGGGTACCGATATTCCTTCATCGGAAAATTACACTGTGTAGCTAGGTAATTTTTTTAATGTATAGATACTATATATTAACACCCATTGGTTGGTTCGTTAGTTTACTTTCCTATATTTTTATCCTCTTAGTGAAAATTCCGGCTTGAAGTGTCTACTTGTGAGAGTATTTTTATCTTATCATAATATTTTTATCTAGATATTGCCATAATGTTTATATTCTTATGTTCTGTTAAAAACAAAGAATATATAGATTTTTAGACATGCGTGTATTAGTTTGACGGAGTACTACTCAAATTTAGTACTCAATCAAATGTTCATCAAGTACCTTTGGGTGTGTTTGGTACGGAAGAAAAATATTTTTTTAATTTTCTTGTGTTTGGTTGGTTTAAATGCTTTGGAAAATATTTTTCTTTAATTGGAGAAAAATATTTTCCCTATCAACAGAAGTAAAAAATATTTTTCAAAACTTTTTTCAATCTTCCTCACTCTATTCCCCATCGATCCTTACCAACCCCCACCAACCCACTACCCCATCCCACCACCCCACCCACTCCCACTCCCTACCCTTACCCCCATCCTCCCCCTACCCAACAAAAAAGCACTTTCTTTTCATGATGATAAAAAAATATTTTCTTTCATTTCAACAAAATGAATATTTTCTTTTTATAATGTAGAAAAAGTATTTTCTTTCGTTTAAACAAAATGTAGTAAAAAGTATTTTTCTTATTTCAACAAAATGAGTGTTTTCTTTTCATGATATGGAAAAAGTATATTCTTTCTTTTCAACAAATGAGTACTTTTCATATTGTAGAAAGAGTATTTTTATTTTATTTCAACAAGAAAGAGTTTTTTCTTTTTAGTCCAGGAGCTCAAATTTCAACGTTCTTAAGTAAAAAAGTATATCAGCATATTAGTTCCTTTGAATTTTATGTAAAAATTGTAGAAAAATTCTTGAAGGAAAATAGAGTTGTGGAAACGTTGAGTACTTGTTGCAGGGAGGGTGAAGGGAGCACATGAAATATGGGAATTGGGGTAAGGGTGGGGTAAGGGTGTTTAACGGGTGGGCCGGGCCGGGTTGGGAAAAAAGGTGACCGGCCGGTTTTCATTCCGGGCTAGTTACGAATTTTTCAATACCGGGCTTAACGGGTCCGGGTTTATCCGGGTAAAAAATAAACCGGAAGGGTTACGGGTCCAAGGGGCCGGGCCGGGCCGGGTTAGTGTTACTTTTTTATTTTTTTTGTATTTTGTATAACTATCATAATTTATATTAATATAAAGTACTAATATAAAACAAAAAAATAATCTTATAAAAAGAGTGTTTGAATAAAAGGATGCAAAGGTTTTAAAATCTTTATATTTGAAATTTTGAATATTTCATTAAGAATTTAAGATAATAGAATACAATGAAGATGGAAAAAAAATTACACTTATAATTTGCAAGTGCTTTTTTTATTTCAAACTTACAAATTGAAGTTTACATTTAACAACAAGTAAATTAACGAAAAAAGGGTAAATTCAAAGGTTTTGCATTGCCTTAGTAAGTTCTTCATAATCAATATCACTACAAAAAAAATAGCAATTAGCGACGGATTTTAGCAATAACATTTATTCCGTCACTGATTAACGACGGTTAAGCTACGGAATAATAGTTTCGTTGCAAAAAAACCAAAAAATAGTTAGTATCTAATATAGCGACGAAAGCGAAAATTTGTCGCTAATTGTTGGCGGTAAATATTGGTGCCCTCAATTTACCTACGGATTTAGCGACAAAATTTATTTAACTACAGCGACGGATTTAGCAACTGAAAATCCGTCTCTTGACTTAATTTATTTATCAAAATATTTTAAAACTCCTTGCTACGGAAATTTCCATCGTTAGTTTTTTTAAAAAGAAAAGAAAAATAAAGTTACATTTAGCGACGGAACTGTATGTGTAGCTAATCCGTCGCTGATGACCACTTAAGTATTTTCCCTAGGGCACATATGTGGTAAAATACCTAGTCTCTTCTAAAATTATAGAACACACACAAGAAAGCAAAATCAGTTGGGAGATAAACTGGGTAAGGGATTTCAAGAACAAGAGCAAAAATTAGTAGCCAACGTGAATCTAAGGTTTGTAGATGACTTTGTTTCTTCTTCTCTTTCTTATGCTTAGTACTAATTTTGGGTACCAAAATAGATAAGCCACCGATTTGTGTATATTATCAAGTATGTTTGCCTAAGAGATGTTTTGTTTAATATATGAAACTAACAGATTCTTTTGGTGGCCTAATTAATCTTCTCTTGCTTGTCTTCTTAATTTTTTGTCCACATCTACAAAAATTTTCTTCACATAGCTTTAGATAAATTTTGTATTAGAAATTCAATTTATGTTTTTTGTTTCATAGGTTGCTTTCACCGCTTGTGATGATATGTGAAGCTTTGTTTCTTGTTAATTAACATCGTCGCCGCTTGTACGAGTAGTTAAATCAAGTTTAGGTAAAATCTCTATACTTCTATCTCTCCCTCACTCTCTCTATGTATGTTTCTCTATATTGTCACGACCTCAAATTAACCCTCCATAAGGTGTCGTGATGGCACCTAGTTTTTACGACTAGGTAAGCCTACTATTGCGAAAAATATAAAGGAAACGCAACATTTTAAGGATAAACATCATATTATAAATAGCCAAGAGTAGTACCACTCGGCATATACAAAATAATTTTTCAAGACCCGGAATATCACTAAGTCACAAGCTTGTAATGACCCAACCGGTAATTTTAACTTTTAGAACCCCGTTCCCTAAAATAAAACTTTCCGTATGTGCTTGTAATGATTTATGACTTGCGGGGATGGTTGGTTCGGATTTGAAAGTGTTTGGGGTGAAACCGGAACACTTGGTTCCTTAAGTTGGCCTTAAAGTGCTAAGTTTGACTTCGGTCAATATTTTGAGAAAACGACCCCGGAATAAAATTTTGATGATTCCAACAGCTCCGTATGATAATTTTGGACTTAGGAGCGTGTTCGGAATTTTATTTGGAAGTCCGTAGTTAAATTATGTTTGAAATAGCTAAAAACAAGAATTTAAGTTTGGAAGTTTGACCGATGAGATGTCTTTTTGATACCAGAGTCGGAATCCAGTTCCAAAATTTTTTATAGCTCTGTTATGTCATTTATGACTTGTGTGTAAAATTTGAGGTCAATCGGAGTTGATTTGATAGGTTCCGACATCGAATGTAGAAGTTGAAAACTCTTAGTTTCATTAAGCTTGAATTGGGGTATGATTCATAGTTTTAGCATTGTTTGATGTGATTTAGAGGTTCGACTAAGTTCGTATGATGTTTTAGGACTTGTTGGTATATTTGGTTGAGGTCCCGAGGGTCTCGGGTGAGTTTCAAATGATTAACGGATCAACAATTGGACTTAAACAGTTGCTGCAATTTTTCTCTTCTGCTGGAAATTTTGAGCTGAGATCGAGCCCAAGATCGAGGCCCAAAAATCGAGCTCTCATGATCGAGCTCCCAAGATCGAGCTCCCAAGATCGAGCTCCCAAAAATCGAGCTCCCAAGATCGAGCTCCCAAGATCGAGCTCCCAAGATCGAGCTCCCTGAGATCGAGGTCCCCTGATCGAGCTCCTTGATCGAACTGGACAGAGCTGTAAGTTATAAAACCAGAGGGCATTCGTTCCATTCGCCATTTTTAACAAATTGGAGCTTGGATTTGGTCTATAAACATAAATATATCATTGTTCTCATCATTTAATTAGTGTTTTGAGATTGAAATTTGAAAAATTTTAAAAATTTCATAGCAACGAATTTTCGAGATTTCGGTATCGATTCGGAGTTAGATTTGAGTGAAACTGGTATGGTTGGACTCATAATTGAATGGGTCGTCGAATTTCATAACTTTCGTCGGATTCTGAGACGTGGGCCCCACGGATGAAGTTTTTAATTAATTTCGGAAATTTTTTTAAAAATGTAGTATTTTCTTATATAATTGATTCCTATAATTTTTAGTGATTGTATCGAATTATTTTGGCTAGATTCGAGCCATACAGAGTTGGATAATCATGAAAAAGGCCTTATAGTGGATTAAATTGGAGCAAGACGAGATAAGTCTCTTGTCTAATCTTATGAGAGGGAAATTACCTCATAGGTGATTAAAATTAAATAATTGTTGCTAATTATGGGGGCTACGTACGCACGAGGTGACGAGAGTCCGTGCGTAGCTACTATTAATGCTAAAGTCTGGGTAGTTTAGGACTCAAAGCATGCATTACTTGTGTAAATTATATTTTTTGATTAATTAATATTAATTGATATATATGAATATATTGTGAATTGTTAGATAAAGATATTAAAGGATAGAAATCTCATTGGCTTGATTTTCTGTTTAAATCAATTAATTGTTAAAAGAAATTATTCTCCTCCCGAATTTATCTTATAATAAATATACTCTCCTTCCGGAGGC